ATCGTTACTTTAATAAGACTTTAATATGACGAGATGATCTTCAAAAATCAACCAATCATAATAAAGCCCGCTATGCTTTGTGCAACATATAAGTATGATTAAAAAGTTTCTTTAAAATGTCTGACATTTGAGAAATTATCAGAATTGTATAAATAATTGTCTAATGCCATAAATAAGGTCTCTGAAACCTTCCAAAACCTTTCATTTTCTTAATATGTGATGAAAGTGAATAAAAACAATTTGATTTTATGTGGATCCTTTTTTTTTTTACAAGAAACCAAATGTTTTAGTCGACAAGGTTCTTTAGGTAAATTATATAAATTGCATTAATTAATTGGCTTCATGTTGCTAATGATGGTAGATATAAACCATCAACCTTATCAGCTTTAGAAGCTGAAAAAAAAAGCTAGACGACTAGATAGAAAGCAAAAAGCTGTCATTAAATGGTATACAATTGAATCATCTATATTTACATCTGCAAGAAATTTATAAATCAGATAGTTCAGCAAAGCAAAAACTATCTAACCGACTCCGGCTACTTTTATAAGACATGTGACTCATCAAGATTATTTTACCAAGAACATATCAATACGTATCGAGAAATGATTTTATTTTTTCAAAGAGTCATGCCGACGCAAGTCGGTTTTATTACGCGATGAAGGGCAGGAAAGATTTAAATACGGAGTTAGTTTCCATGCGGCAGAATACTATAGCAAAAACTCTGAATTCGCTTATAACGGAAGATCAGATGTCACTTGTCGGTATAAAGACAAAAATAATTATTCTAATCGAGTTTAAATTAGAAAAAATTAGGGGTGTTAAGTGGTCCACGGGGAACTGGGACTAGTAGGACTAGAAACTGGTCCAGCTCTCACATAATATGAATAGTGTTATTTTTAAATCAATGACAAAATGGTTTTACCACAAAATCTCGAAAACCATTTTCCCGAAAGAACATAATACCGACTAAATTGACCAGAATTATAACTAATGCCGGCTAACTTTGTCGGTTTTAGGTCCTTTCGGGAATCTGTCTTGTGGTAAACCCTGACAGATACTCTAATTGGCGAATTAGGTTAAAATGATCAATAATGGTAAAGTTTGTGATAAAGAGTATTATAAAATCTATATTAAACCGCTAGGGTAGGACTACTATAGGACTTGTTTTTAACAAGGGGGTGAACTAGTTTTCAGCTAGTCCTGGACCGAACTTTTTATGGAACGGACCGGGACCGGACGCACCACTTAACATCCCTAGAAAAAATGTCTAGTGAGAAAAATCTCACTATCGAAGAATTAGAAGATATTAGAAATAGAAATGATAAAATTATTTATTTATTTACTTAGTGCGAAGATGAATTGCGCAACAATGCTACAAAATTATTTTAGAAATTTACTCATTGAATTTTTTTCACTTGCGAAATTTACTTATAATAAATAGTTCAGTTAAACCTTTTTTAAAATGAGTGTTGCCAAGGAAAAATCTGTAAATCTTTTCGTGAATGAAATTTAAGAGCGTACTTATGGGTTTTCTTGGCAGCACTCAAATTCTTGTTTTCAAAAAAGAAATTCAAGATATAAAGTACTTAGATTCTTATGACTTTCAAATTTCGATAATGATATCAGATTCCAATAGCATCCAGAATTTTAGTAAGTTAAACCCCAAGAAAGCATATAAAGAAATATCTCCAAATAATATATAGATAAATGTCTCAATTACAGTTTTTAGCGATCATGTTGAAATTCTACTAATACTAAAATTCTTTTCTATATATCGATATGTTTCGAGCTTTATTATATATTATAAATTCAAAATACATGTTTAGATTCTAAGTTTTTCTTGCAGTGTAAGAATATCATGATTTTCAATTCAAGAATTTAAAAAGATTAATAAAATATGAAAAAAACCAATGTTGCACATTTATTAAAAATATAACGAACGAATTAGCAGACAAAGCAAGTAGGTAAAAAAAAAAAAACCACAATAAATTATCTCTACGCGTTCGCCCTTTGTTGAATGCATTTATTTAGTCGTAATAGTTCAATGATTAATCTATGTTCGGGATTAGAACATTTTCAATTTACAGCGGTATTATCGTTTACCGTTAGATAAATCCAACTACTTAAGCGTATAAAAACAAATTTCCTTCTGAACATCCCAACAGTATAAGTTGATTAATAGGTAAAATTTCCGAGCTTGTAATTATTGATTTGATTGTTGAACTTTTGAATTTTGATGAATATGCCTGGTACTAAAAATAATAAAATAAATCAAAATCAGCATCAATTATAAAGTAGATTAAAATATAGACACAGATAAACAGAATTGAAAGACACACATTATCATTCAATGGAGTGAACGTAATAACGTTACTACTATTAATAGTAATAACTTCATCTTTATATAAATTCAGTGATACAATATCGGAATTAACTGATATAATGATAATAAATTCAATGAGCAAATTTATATTTTTATCACAAAACCAACGAAAAATAAATAAAATTACCTCGGATCTTATTGATCAATGAAACAGTACTAGTATCCCATATACAAATTAAATGGTCAGCTGGTGCACACGACACAAGATAATTATTTGTATAAAATTTCATCTATATTTCAATGAAAAAAAGTTTATTAAGAATGTAACAAATATATTGATTTGATTATACTTTGCAAATATGACCTACATGAGCTATTTCTGTGTCACCAGCTTTCCAACTTCTAATTAATGTACCAGTCCTTGACTCTAGTAACGATATTACTCCACTAATAAATCCAATTGCTATTAATGTTTCAGATGGGCTCACACATATTACACGTATGTCACCTATATAAATTTTATATGTTAGCATTTATTTAGAGTAATTAAAATTGTTTAATTATTAACGAACCAGCAAATGCAGGGCAAGATTTCCAAGAATACAAAAGGCTATAAGTCGTATTATCAAAGAACCTATTTAATAAACAGCAAAAATTTAATTAATGGTTTATATTAAAGAAACAAATTAGTTAAAGTTTGAAGTCTTAAAAGCCTACGCGATTGAAGTATCTTTTAATCCACCCACGAGAGATCTAGATTTAAATATCGGCTTGACAGATAAATATGGAGATCTATCATTTCTATATTGATGTAATATTTGTCCAGTTTCTGGATCCCAAAGCTATAAATAAACCATAACACTATTAGTAAAAAAATATATATATAAATATATATATATAATATTTACATGAATCTGTCCATCATTGCTAGCAATGATATCTCCAGGTCCCCAACCACCCCCTCGTCCACTAATAAAATGAACGTCGGTAATTGTGGATTTTCTATGTCCGTTATATGTAATCAAACATTCAGAAAATGGTTCATTATCAGAATTTTCTATTCCATTATGAAAATCTAGTGACCAAAGTTTTACAGTGCGATCTTTTGAACCAGAAGCTATTAGTCGAGTATGTTCATTAACGTCAAAGGTACGAATAGCTGACGAGTGCCCTATTTTGACAAGATAAATATAGTATAAGCCATAAATAAATAAATAAATAAATAATTAAATAATTAATTAATTAATTAAATAGTTAAATAAATAATTAAATAAATAATTAATCACATTTTTAATTAACATACCAGAAAAAGTACGAAGCTTCAAGTCATTAAAAGTAAATTGTAATGAATTTGACATTTCTTCTATTATTATCAATGTATGCATGCAAATACATTAAAATCCTAAAAACATGATTTATGCTTAACAAAATCAAATTAATAGTACCTGAATTTGTTGATAAAAAACGGGTCCAGTTCCTAACATTATATAAATTGATTAAAATTATCAGTATAACAAGAAGGAAAAAAAACACTCTATAAATATTAAAGGATGATTACTTTAAGTCTTCATTAGATGAGCTTTTTGTTCTCCAAGACAGGTTAATTCCTTTCAGTTTTGATCTAAAAAGATAATTTGTTATTAAATTATTCATGACAATTATTTCATAAAAATTATTTACTTTTTAGCGGATCCAGCACTTGGTAAACTATTACTTTTCACAGATGAGGCAACATTTTTTATAGACACCCCACTAGCAGCTTGATGATTAATATCATATAGTTTTCTACTAGCACCTTCACCTGCAAATAATGTAAAAGTTTTATTCGACGTAGTGGTAGCTGAGATTGCAGTCGTAACTTCTTTTGTCGGTAAGATGCCAGTATTTAAAGTTAAATGTTTTTTATCTTCCAAATTTACAATAAATCTAGGTGTATTTGTGGTGCTAGAACCTTTATCTTGAGATGATGATCTTGATGCGATGCTAACCCGATCACTGGAGAAATGGTTATCGGGTGGTGACCGCACTGGTGACCGCGATAATGATAAAGCACTTAATTTAGATGAACCAATCATTGCATACTCGATTGCCTCACTGAGTTGTTATTAAAAAACAATTAAGATTTAAATAATATTTTAATGACCACAACAATAATATTGTAATAAATTCATCGTAGCAAACCTAGCAGGGATAGCTTCCCGTACAGATTCTTGATCAAACAGAATGCATAATTGTGAGTATGTATATGTAATCTAATATGAAAATAGTCTAAATAAATGTTGTCATTGTTAACAAATTTATTAAGAACAATTAATTCAAACCTGTTTATTCCTTTCTTGCTCGAATTCTTCCATGCCCAAACTTTCTAAAGATTTTTCGAAAGTTTCAAAATATTTTTGTAATATCGGTGCAATCTATAAATAACAAAGATTGGTAAATAATAATAATAAAAATAAAAATAAATGCTGTTATGAAAATCAGGTTTGACCTACATTACGCTCCCAATCTGCTTTATCAACATTATTACAAACATGCAGCAAGAATTCTGCGCTTTTCATACTAATAGATAATTTATTTTTTAATATATTAATTGTTGTGCCTTTAAGAGAGTCTTTTCCTGCAGGTTTATTGTTTTGATTAAGAGAATCATCATAATTGAATTGAACTAAAAGTTTTATTAAAGTATCAGAGAATCCAGATTCCATTTCGGCTAATACTTTAGGTGTTGGCATTAATGTGGTGAGCTATGTTATTAGATAAAAAATTAGCAATTATCAATGTCAAATTTTTTAAATAAATACTTATAACAAACCTTTTCCAGGAGAAACAAATGATTACATAATATAGAATAATTTCTCTTGTTCATAGGAAACGAACTATATTGCTGAATCACTGAAATAATTTGGGTGAATTGCAAATGAGTAAATGTTTCACCAAATTGGTTGCCTAAAGAAAAATCATAAATTACTAAGTAATAATAAAAAATTTTCAACATCTAAAGAATCCTATATTTATACCAATTGAAAGTATTGACTGCATCAAAAAGGGTAATGTCGAACTTTCTTTGAGTAACAATTTGTAAACTTGTCTCATTATATGTTTAGATGCCAAAATAGGCCCTATAAGTGTACTAAGGAATAATTATATTCTGTTATCAAAAGGTTTTAAATATCGAAACAAAATAAAATTAGAAATCGGCCTCACCAAATGTCAACTAAAGCAGAATTCGCAAACTGTGCCACTAATGGTAATGCATTATCCAAGCTTGATGGATCGTCAGGTGCAGAAGCTGGGCTTGCAATACTACCGCTTACAGAATTTGATTTTTGTACAACTGAAAGTTTTGCGTCATTAAAATCGTAGGGTGAAATATAATCTTCAACAGTTAGTGCTTCTAAATAAAGAGGGAAAAGTTGTTGCAAGAAATTCGTAATGCCAAATCGGTACACAAATTCTGCAACAATGGCAGGATGAAATAACGCCTTAGGTATAGACGGACGTGATGACTATTCAAATAAATTACAAACAGAATGTATTATAATTTAGGATTTTATATAGCAAATAAGAAGTGTTATTTATATTAGAAAACGATATACTTCAAATAAAGAAATTATTGGTTTCAAAAGGTAAGTCTTTGTGTCATCTTGACCCAATCTTCGTCCGAGACTTGAAAAAATATTCAGTGCTTCAATTTTTATAATATCAACTGTAAACATTAACACTATGCTTGGTAAAATCATGAAAAAAGCCTAATATATGTTAAAGAAATAATTTAATTTCATAAATAAAGAAATAGCTTTATTTTGTAACAATTTTAGTAATTTGTAATGTCATACCTCATCGATAAGACTGCAAAGTCTTTCCATCCAATGTTCTGTAAGTTTTAATCTGCCAATCCAGTCTCTGTAATGAATTGACAAGTAAAATAATATTTAATATCGCTATGCTTGGTTGCAATATTTTTTAGCAAATAATTGCATGAATTATCATTGAACTTACACCCTATGAAAATCGGTCAAGAATTCATAGATTTCAGGAACACATTCCGGCAATGGTAAGGTTAAACCCTCATCATATAAACCCAGAACAGGAACGGATGAATAAAGCAAAGCATCGATCGAAGGACGTTGTTTCCAATTTGGAGACATTAATGATGACACAACTTTTTGCACGGAAAGGGGTAACTTAAGCACAAATGAATATTAAATTTAATTCATATTTGTAATTCACGCTAAAAGAAAAAATTTTAATGCGAACAAATTAAAAACTTTTATTCCGGGAAATACCTTACAAAAATCATTTGGATATACATCATTCTGATGTTGATGTGCTGAAAGGGTTGACATTCCAGCATCATTTTTCACAGCGGAATGTATATTTTGAATGATTTCTCCAAGACAATAAGCATCCCATGCTCTTCCATACGCAAAAGATGACTCAACTGCTTCATTTATTGCGCTTTGTTTCCGAAAATATGTTTTATTACTCTGAATATCACCAAAATGTTCATTTTTTATATATTTATGAGGAAGGTATTTTGCAGAAAAAGAGTGTGCTTGTTCAAAATTGTTCAAACTTTCGATAAAATGTTCATCATCGATATCATCCGGTAAATGTATTGGGAAAGAATTAATATATGCAGATAATGCTTCAACACGAGCAATGGGGTCTTTCGGATCCTTCTCATCGAATGGAACAGCTTCATGCAGCTTTGAAGTAGGAGCTAATTTGGGTGATTTTAATCGTGAAGATACGGTCTGATATTTTCCTATGGTCTTTTCTGATCCCAACAAATCTGCCACAACATCAGATAATTGTTTATTCGAATCGGTAGGTTTGAATTGTATTCGCCTTTTACTCGAGACGATTTCATATTTTTCTAGCAACGCCATATTGTCATTAATATTCACAGAAGGTCTAAACGGAAAATATTAAATAAATAATTAATACATTATTTAAAAATAAATTTAATGATGTAAAAAAATCTAAGATACATTTTATTGCTATCGTATGTCACAATTTTCTGTGGGTGAGGATCCGAAAAAAGTTGAGTGATCCCGTGCTTCATAAAAGAATTTTGTCCATCCAAAAGCGGTAATGCAACATTTTTTGCTTCAATCGCGTCAGCACCTATCAAGTAATATATAACCGGAATCTATAAATATCTATGTATAAGTTATTCAATAAGTTATTCACAACAACCTCATACCACATTATTATTATGGAGTGAGTATTTAGAGTCAATGAACTTATATATTACCACTCAGCTTACACCCGAATGTCAAATCAATCCAAATATGTAAATTTCTCGATACATGCTCGCTTTCAAAAGCTTCCGAATGAATGCGTATAAACTCTTCAGCAGAAGAAGCCCACCTGTTAAATAAATTAGCCAGACTAACATTAAAATCTTCTCTTATAAATTTTAGAGCCATTAATTTAGTAATTTTTAAGAAGAAAATATTACATTGGAAGTTGTAAATCTGGCATGTCCGGATGTATTGAAGTAAAAATACTTGGATCTAAATAATACTTTAATGGTTGACCTACATTCAATATATGACATTTAATGCAAAAAAATATTACATTTTCAGACCTGTATAAAACTCAGGGATACATTCATCAGGAGTCCATTCGAACAATCTTTGTAATGAGGATGGATATTCATTCGGTTCATATTTCGTTCTTACATATTGACATAGCACCTATACAAATAAAATACTTCGATCAGATGATGCATCAATGATAAAGCAAGCTACCTATTCATAATGATCAATAACAAACCGGAATGGGAGTTTTTCGAGCAAGATACACATAATAAGTGATATCAGATAAAATATCGGTGATATGATGAGGCACTGGACCATCATATGTAAAATCCAATTGCTCATCACCTATAATAAAAGTGTTGTTAATTTTCACATCTGAAACACAAATAATAGGGGAAGATAATTTAAACGATTTAACAGCTGAATTATATTTGCCTTGCCTTTGTTTAGGCGAAATTTCGTTTTTGTAAAATCACGCCAATTTTCAGAAACAGATGCACCGGTGAAATCGGTAATCCAAGGAAAAATTGGATGAAAATTTGGGTCACCAATTCTTCGGCCTGTGTATGAACCAATTCTATAAAATAATGTTTTTTTTATATTTTAAACTGAGCAAATAAATTATCTACTAACCAGCGAGATGGTTCAATGCCATTATATAATCAAAATTTGATATGCTTCCATGCACCCACTTCATTGTGAGAGATTCATCTTGAATTTCTATTATTTTGTAATAATTTTAATTTCCACTATACATAATAATTTATAAACAATTTTTATATATATAAACTACAACTATATACCCTTTGGAATATTTTCTAAAGCAAACTCATTACTCATATACTGATTTGTCTTATCTAATTATATTAAGGAAAAAAAAACTTTTATATATTATTTTATGGACATTATTAAAAACTTACAATCATGCGATCAAATTAAATATACAAAAATACAAACCCGGTATATTTTCAGTTCTTAGAATGGAGCATTCAAATCCTGTAAGCGTTACCCATAAATTTTCATCCACAAGAATGTTAGATGGCTTAAGTCTACATAATATTAAATGTTAAATTCGGATGTTCTAATTATAATACATTTTGTAGAAAAATAAATTAGTGCTAACCCTCCATGAATAACACCTTTCATATGAAGACTCTGAACAGTTCTTAGTAATTGATATAGGATAAAAGATTTTTTTACATTAGAATTCAATGCGCCAGAACTATATTTTAATAAGTCTTCTAAAGTAGTGCCACGATATGGAGCCATGAAATAATATGCATGCTCAGATTCCAATACAGCAAAAACATCGATAATGTTTGGACTCGTCGTTATAGGCATATCTGAGGACCAGTCAGGTTGAGAAACAGCTTCTACAAATAAAGTATCACCATCATTTTCACTATCACTTTCAGGTTGCGATACAATTCGAAAATAAGCACTCTCAGGATATAATGTTTCTATAAATTTTTTCACAAATGCCTATGATATATTATAATGATAAAAACTTAGTAAGAATAACAAGATATTAAATTAAAGTAAAAATATTAAAAAAAAAAAATCTACTTTTTGCCTAGCCAGTTCAACTTCCAATTCAGACAAATTTTCAGGATTTTGAAAGTCATTATTGGAGAATATAGGCGTATAATTATTGTATTGTTCCTCAATATCAGCCAAAAGTATTGGTTTTCCTTCAAGTTGTTCTTTAAGGAAATACCTTAAAGGTAAGTCAGTTCGCTCATTAAAATTAGATGAAGCGTAATTAATGCTGCTGTCAGATGGATTCCGAGCATATAACTGCGGTTTACTGAGAAAACAATTATGTAAGATTCTGGAAGGACGTCGGTAACATTATTATCGACTAATAAAGATAGAACTAACCTATTTTTGGAGTCTGATGAGTATCGCTTTAAATACACACTAACTAGTACATTGGTCGTCGAAGTTTGATGATCGTTAGTTTGATCTGAATTATTATTTAAGGAAGAACGAGTGGCGACGTATTTGTTGATTTTGGTGATTTCACCAAGCTTGGATTGCCTCAGGCTAGTAAGCCAGTGTTTATGGACCTATGATTTTTGTTTAAATAGCGATCTTTTAAAAAGACGATTTTAAGAAAATTTTGGAATTTTTATTACTTGATAATACCCACCACACAACATGCAGTAGAGCCATACTGTTCTTTAACAGAAAAGCAAGGAAATGCAACATCTATGTGTAGTTCTTGAGCAATGATTTCTGTCAGCTCTTCCCTGCGCAGTTTGGATATAGAAACCATTTTTACAATATGATAATATATTGGATTCGAGGGAATAGGGTAATATTTAATTAACAGTTAAAGGGATCAACAAGTTGCAACTCATTTCATATTATGGCGGGCTTTTCATTTTGGTTGGGCGATCGCAAAAATGTACAACGATAACGATAATCTATCGTTAGCCGAGAAATTAGATGAGGGACATTTTCTTTTGGACTCTAAATCCTAAGGAAATTTCGTATTAACAATAAAATTTCATCATTTGTGGTATAATTGGTTTAATCCAGGTTTTGCTTACAGCTTCAGTCATACACATAAGAAAGGTAGCCATAACAACCATCTATAAATGCAATGCTCACTAATTACAGTATATCGATATCGATTTGAAAAACTTGCAAAAGTTCAAAACTACAAAATTCTAAACTTGGGAAACATCAATGATAACTGTACATTCTACGACGAACCTTTTTACACATATAACGAGCTCTGGATGTAATTTATTAGTACAGCCTAAGTGCACAGTATATGAAAAACTCCTCTAAGTGCACACCCCCTTTTGGTCCCAAATAATACGATTATAAATTTTAACCCCCCTCTAAGCGGGACCATAGTAAAAAAAAAGGCAAAATATGCACTTAGAGAGGGTGTGCATTTAGAGGTGTGACTATATCTGTAGACATTGTTCTCTGATTGTTGACTTGTACTATTAATAACTATCGCTATGTTTAAGGACAATTATATTTTAATTGAGGTTCTTAACCCAAAATGAAATGGGTTGATTTTTGAATACTGATAACTTCTGTTATACAAATCTGTTTTGGATGATTTTACTACCAAAATGTTCGTCTCAATAAGACGATTCTAATGTGCCCAAAATCGTTAAATTTCAATGATATTATCATGATTTTGTGTTATTTTATTAGTAATTTTTTATGGATACCAAAAAAAAGGCTTTGACATTGAATACGTAACATTTGATCCGTTTTGGTGATTTTACCACCAAAATATTCATCTCGATGAGACGATTCTAAACGAGCCCGAAATCGTTCACAGGATCTCAAGATCGTTAAAAATTAGTGAGACGCAGCTTATTGGCTTAATCTCATGGGTTTTTTATTTAGTTTTATATATTATCGTTATATATAAAAAACCCATGATTTAGCCAATAAGCTAGACTCTATGGGGACGACCTAAAAACGATTAGGAATCAAATCGCACTAAGTCACATAAATTTATGTCTCTCTAGATCACGGCATCAATATCCAATACAAGCTAGTTATGTACTGTATATATTAGAAATTAAATAAGTTAAGTTTGTATAAAATTTTATTATATAAAAATAAAATACGTATCACTAGGATGAGCAAATTTGAATCTACTGTACAGCCTGCACAGGCCCATATTATAGTAGTTTACTGCTAATGCAGGCCAGAATTGTGAAATTCCAAATCATTTACCTAACACAAACTATAATATAATAAGAAAAATTTTAGTTTAAATTTGATAATCTTAGATATAAATTTTCTAGAATTTAAAAATTTTAGAAAATTTGAGTTGATACTTGAAATTTTAGAAAAATTTA